GGTTCTCGCACCGAAAGTGAATTCTGGAAACGAGGGAGTAGTACTCTGCTTCCAATTTTTGTTGACATTTGACGTCTGCTTTGACGTTTTTCAAATAAGTTTGTGAATTCATTCATTAATTTTTAGAAGCTTGTATTTAACTTGACAAACGAAACCACATATCGATGGTCCAGAAGCTTTGTTGATGTCGAGAGACAAGAGCACTCGTCTTACGGTCTTATGCCTGTATGTTACCTCCCGCATAGTGTATGGAACCCTTTGAATTGACGGCGCTTGGGCGTTGGGGGGACGTCCATGGTGGAGTTGGCAGCAAAGATCTTGGCTAGCACATCCGCCTTGGCCTTTGAGTCGAATACAATAGTTCCACCCTGACACGTAAGTGGTGGGAGGCTACTGTGTGAGAAGTTCTTTTCAATCTGCTTGGCCAGCGTCCAGAAAGACCGACTGCCATTGCGCTGCGACATTACCCTGTGCCTAACTTTTATATCGTGCTGGTTTGTGGCATTGCTAACCGCTTCGTTATATTTGTTTCTGGACTCGACGTCGGCTTGTCTGTTGTCTACAGTAGAGTTTTGTAAGAAGGTACTGTGTGCCTTGATCTTCTGCTGGCGAGCAGTGTCACACGATTTGTTAAACCAGGGTCCAACGGCTGGTGTGGCACTTTCACTGTGTGAGGAATGTATTCCTCCATTCCGACGTGGATAATTTCTTTTATCGAAGAACAGACAGCCGACGCATCCGCGTCAGTGAAACAGGCATCTCTCCAAGGAAAGCTAGAGAAGAAGCCTCTCCCAGTCGGCATGTCTGTAATGTCAATTTCTTTCACTTGTAATCACAAGTATAGTTAGTTGCGTATTGATACAGAATTAAGTGATGAAGTACGGCAAATTACTTTAACTGGTCGACTTGTAATACTCTTGTGGTGGTCGTGATATAGGCCCCTGGTGTCTGATACGTGTTATTATAGATGACGTGTCTGTTACATCCAACACATCCGCAAAAAGCTCAACTTCAGAAAAAATATTGTAGGGGTTACAAATTGAGGGTTGTGGGGGGTGCTGAAGAGAATATCCCAATTCTAATTCTACACACATATTAGACATATTTGACACATCGTAGATTTCCCCGTAAAAATGTCTATGCCTGCTTGACTGACATGATCGTTTCTTTTTTGAACACATCCGTAGCTATATTTTTTTCTCAGAGGAGCTAACTTATGCCAAAAATATCTGATCATTTATGATAGCATTGCGCGAGAAGTAGAGATTCAACCTGCTTGACGCCATTTTCTTCCCACATATGGAAGTGGGTTTTTAGCTTTTTAGGTAATAAATGCTACAAAATAAAAATATTCATGCAACTCACCCAAAGCTGCTGTTTCGTAATACTATGGTCTGTGTAGTATACTAATGTTTCACCAGCTAACGGACTGCATTCCCTTAATTTAGACGCTAATAACATACACGCTGTTCCTAATAACTGCAATTGATTTTTCATTATTGAACAACACATTAAAAATCTGTCCATATAATTCATTGCTAGGGAGAAGACTTCGTCTTGACATTTCTGTTCTTCACAGACCTGAAACAACAGAGAACCTTTAAGCATACTACAAGTAAGAGCTATTCATAGAAATACACTGAAAAGCAAAGGTAGAGGTCTACTATAGTATGAACACTTCTGATAACTATACTTTTCATGCTGCTTCATATACAGAGAGTCCCCAGTTGTTCTCCCAAAGGCCTTATGAAGGATTTCCAGGCAACCACCAGTTGTTGGACCACAACATGAATTTATGTTTATGGATAAGTTGTTAACAAAGGTGAAGATATCATTGTATGATGTGAGGGTTACGTCATGCTACATTTAGAGAAACGACACAATACAGACTATTTATTCACTTTGCTGTACTTGAAAAACTATATCAATAGGCAATCATTAAACAAGATACATTCTATGGATGGAATACCGTTTTCAAATTCTACATTAACAACATTGCTAATATAAACAACTATTTACGCAATTGAAACGTTTCAATAATGGAAGATAAAATGTTTGAGCTTTTAAAAAACGGGACAATAGAATCAGTTTGCATAACACATCAAATTATAAACTATTATATACATGCTAATTAGGATTATTTACGTTGCGGATAGCAAAAAGCAACAGATACTTAGGTCAAATTATAGCAAAGCGCTAGAATTTTTACAGCTACAAGCCAAAACATTGAGATTTATGCCTAACAATTTGCCGATAGCAAAATGTTTCTTCAGAGTGTCGTTCAAGAAGGTTACGTATGAATAGTTCCAATAATCTTTTAGTATTGCTAGAAATTATATAGTTAGCTCTAATAGTTGTCTCCAACAGTCTAAATCTCAAAAATATTATCAAAATAGTATGCACAAAGTATATGGTTAACAGATAGTTGACAATTTCAGTTGAATTCAAATTCAAATTATATGAATAGCTCACAGCTCCGACTATGCAATGCTATATTTGAGCGCTGCTTTTGAAAAATCAAGAGAAAAGGAAGCAAGCGTACTAGACAAACATTAGGCGTTTCTACTAGTTCATGTTTGAGGCACTTTATAATAATTCCATTGGGGTTTTAAACCATTTAAAATTTAAAAAAACTGTTATAAAACCAACGTAGCGTTAATTACATGAGAATTAGCTATTATCTTCATCAAGGTTATTAACTGTCTGGTGCGCGAAAAAAATTGCACGTCTGTTTTAACAACTTCCTCCAAGAAACCAACTTTAAGTAATTTATGCTTAGATAATGGTGATTATCATTAATAATTAAAGCACTTTCAGTGAGTTATGGCTTATGGCCGTTATGGTAAATGGATATGTTTGTTGTATGACGTAAAATGCTAATCAAAGTGGCATAGTTCTGTTGTTACAGTGTATGCCAGTTTTTAAATTCTCATGTTCGCAATTGTGATAGATTCTTGACCTTTCTGCCTGCTGTTTCCAATAGAAGTTGTTATTCAGGAAGTTAAGAAAGCATCTGGCTAACGAAAGGTTAATTCAGTGATTCTATGAAAAAAAATCGTATAAATATGGATTCCGAAATGACTCTTCTTCAAGATAAGGGCTGTCAAACTTTTTTTAGACATTCGAATTTTTATAAAAATAGTAATAACCCATCAGCCGACTGTATCAAAATATATAGAAATTTAGAAGGCCAGACGTATCGCCGATAATTTAGATAATAATAATAATAATCATATTTATTTGCTTTCAATTCAATTACAAATGTTATAGGTGAAATAAAAAACATGCAAATAAATATGAAATACCCACAGAAGGCAAAGCCTGTGCGTGGTGAGATTTCTATCCAATATTCAGTCTATATCAGTATCTATAATTGTCAGGTACAATCGTCATAATCGGGTGTGCCACGAATCAGAGAATGTCATATTAGGAGGTTCATTTGCTTTAGCTGCTGCATGCTTGGATATGCTTAACCTTATGTATATATTAAGAACTTTTAAAAAAAATTCCATGAGAGTTTAAAAAAAATCGTTTTTATATATACATATTTGAAAAAATTAGCTGATGTATGTGGTATTTCATTAATACACTTTTTTAGTTCTTTTTTAAACTGCATAGAATTATACTGTTTTAAGATAATAGGCAAACTATTATAAAGCTTAGGTCCTAGTTATTGGAATGATATCTGCATGACATTGACATGAGGCTTTGGTAAACATGCTCTCACTTTGTGGCGGGTATCATAGTCATGCTCAGTTTGGCGTAACTTATATTTTAGTTGGTGCAGCTTCATGATGGTTTGGATGAAGTAGAGTTGTCGAATATCATGCACTCTAATTTCGGTATATAATTGTTCTGTTGGGTATATTCTTGGCTTATTATATATTACCTTTAGAATGTACTTTTGTATTGTCTCAAGATTTTTCATGTGTGTCTTACATGCTGCTCCCCACGCGATCACACCATACCTCAAATGGCTCTCAACTAGTGAATAATAAAGTACTTTCATTTGATAGAAGTAATAGTATTTCATAAGATATTTCAATTTGTAAAGTATTGTACGCAATTTTTTAATTACGAAATGTATGTGCGTGTCTCATTTAAGGGTAGAATCTAGGTACACCCCCAGATATTTAACACTGCGCGAAGAAGTTGGTTGTAATGGTTCATTTTGGTTGTTCTCCAGTTTTATGTTTAAATTTGAATATTTGGGCATATATCGTTCACAGGATGAAAATGGGATGTAACAAGTTTTGTTGTAATTTACGGTTAAAAGTCTAGAGTTGAACCATTTGATAATCTTGCAAAATTCTGTTTCTGTTAGAGTTTAGGTAAAATCGAATAAGAGAAAGGTCTCGATTAAATAGCCCAAGCAAGAAAAAAAATCCATTTTAAATTTTGAGGACATATATTTTCAAAATGGTGTAGTTTCGCGGACGTGTTTATATGATTTTTTTAGACTTTGAATCAAAGTTCTGCGATACATCTTCAACTATAAAAAATATTCATGAATAACATAAAAGTCAATTTCAGAATTTTAGACCAACCGCGCACAGCTGAAATATTCATTTATTCGCGACTTAAAAAAAAATACCAAATGGATTTTTTTCATCAAATCAAGTCTAAACGAGATGCATGAATGTCAGTTTTAAAGATCCCTAATCGATTCTATCCTCTATAAATGATCGCCAATGGCCCAAAATCGGGCACACCGCACCGGTTTAAATATGGAAAGACCAACTTTATTTATAAATCTCTAATTTTGAATTCCAGGATAAAGTGTGGGAGTTATCTGTAACTATGTAGACAATGTGCCACCTCTCACCGGACTTTTAAATTTTAAATACCCATAAAATGTACGAATGAGGTTCATTGTAAAGTGTGGGAACCTCAATGACTGCCAAAAATAATAAAAACATGTATGATTTATTATGTGTAGGAAAGTGTAATATGTATGTAGGAATTTATGTATGGGATACATACAATAATAGTTAATTTTTAACATGACATTTTTAGTAATTAAGAATATAAAATCGAAATTTAAAAAAGGTTATATTATGTAATAACATAACACAGCTTTAATTAGTTTCTAAGCACATACAATAATTAAGCAACTGTTGCAATTGGTATTTGAAAATAGTTTTTTCAAAGTTAACGGTCTCATGGATCCAAGGGTTAAGGTGTATGTTATCTAAATGAAGCTATGAAAGGTTTACACTACTATATATTAAAATTCCCAGCAGATTTGCATAATACTGATGTGTTCCTCCGTAGTAAAACTATAAGTGAACTCCCAGATGACTACATGACATATGCGCAATATAAAATAAAAAATAACAAGTAGTTAAACAATTATGCTAAATTGAAATTCCGACGTACCTATTGGGACAGCCTTTATAATATGAAATAAAAAACTATAATGCAAAGTGGTTTACTCATAATAGTTTCAGGAAATATTGAAAGCCATGGCGAACAAATAACTTGGCCTTGACCGTTGTTATACGCAGCTGGCTCTCTGGAACCGGAAAGAGGCCCTTTTGTTTTTTTTATGCGCGGAAGAACCGTCGAGTTTTTGAATGATCTGGGGATCTACTGCGTTAAGGCTTTTTAATTTTTAAAGTCCATGCGTACACATTTAACTAGCATTCATTAACAAATAATTATTTCATACATATAAATACATAAATGTTAGCTTCGTATATACTAAAGCAGGGACATACTAGTCATGTAAGCATGAATTATCGGACAAGTTCTCGATGCGGCAGTGCCAAAATATTGAGAGAAATGCTAGAATTTTTCACAACATTAAAAAATGTCCGGGAAATCGCCAAGCATCTTAGAAACGTCAGAAGGCGAACCTTGAATGGTCACAAGTTTATTTCAAGTAATCCGAGTCAACGATGCTATCCCACTTTAGCGCTGCTTTTACTTCCCACACCTACGGCGAGAATGTATTGTAATGTGATATCTCTTTTTGGATGGCATATGACATCTACATCACTTCGAAACCATGTCACTTCTGTCTGTTTGTCTGTCCTCTAATCCTTGGACCTTCTATAATTTGGAAGTACGCGGGACCCGCTGCATGCGGGCGTGTAGAGCATGAACCGCACAAGGGCGACAAAAACAGAAATCGAAACAAAAAAATTTTGGAAATCAACAGTCATGCATTTCACGTTCCTTGCTCATCTCACACTCTAAATTCGTTCGTCAATGATGCAGCAAATATTTCGCACGAAACTGAATTTCTTTGATATAATTCAAGAATTTTTGTATCATCTACAAAGAGGTGGTCGATAATTTGCAAACATTTACCTAATTTCAAATTAAAAGCTCTAAGTGCCACACAATGGTCTAGCAGAATCGATGCAGTCAAACCATTACGGTACCATCATGCAAGAATATTTGATTCTTTCCTCGAAATATCTGGTAAGAATTCGCCAGAATGGGACCGTGCAACATCTCACAAAACTCATTCGCTTGCGCTGAGCATTCAAAATTATAGATTGACTTGCTCAATAATAATTTTGTTTGATACTTTGAACGAAATGAATGCTTTAAGCAAAATGATGCAAAGCCCC